ACGTTTGACTCAAGATGAAAACAAAACAATAAACAACTCCACAAAACTTGAATTGAGCTGAAAGCAAAAATAAAAATGTTAGTAAGACAATAATAAAATGAAACAATTAAACTTCAATAAAAGGATCATAAGTTAACTAAGGACTCGAACTCATTATTTCCACCAAACGACAATGTGTAAACGATTTACAGCCTGACTTTCTAAAAATATTCCGCAGCGGAGTCGCCAATCTGCCATAACCACTTTTTAGTTTGAACAAATTATTTATTGTTTAAAAACAGTTACGACTTTTAATTTTTGAAAATGAGTGATTTGAACTTAATTTGGATAAAATTGAAAAGAGTCACCATCAACTTTTGAGTTACCTTAAAATGTCTTTTAAAAATAATTTTAAGAAAAATCATTTTTAAGACAAAAGTTGGTCTGCGTTTACCAAAGTTTCGATTAAAATGGGTTCGGGAGTCGGTTACACGTGGGGAAGGATTAACACCCCCACAGCGCCCAAAATTGGTATTGTTTCGCTTACACATTGTCATAATGGTGGAAATAATGAATCGAATACAAAATTAAATTATGATTCATTTATTGAAATTTAATTAATTTACTATCTTCCGTCGAGAAAGCTATTTCAATCATTTCTCATTCGTAAAGAATATTCTTCCGCAGTGATAAAACGCGAATCGATTATAAATTAAAAATTGACACTTTGCATAAATTACATTGCTATATAAAAATAAATTGAATCATAAAAGTTTTAATTAGTAAAATAAATTAAATTGAAAATATATATAAAAAATATATACGCATACTTATATAGAAATAGATCTAGTGCAAATAAGATAATTTTTATTTTATATGTGTATATGTATTTATGTATAATATAATAAACCTTAATATGCATAAATATATAAAGTTTACGCATATAAGTAATGAGAAGATCAAAGTATAAAATATATTGAACATTATATAATTAATTAAAAACATTATATATATGCTTAGAAATATAACATGGACTAAAACAAACATTAGTATAAAGATTGAAACACACGTAAAAAATATATAACATCATGCATGTATGTAATGAGAAGAGCAACATATAGAATATATTTAATATTATATAATTAATTAGAAACATTATATATATGCTCAGAAATATAACATGGACTAAAACGAATAATAAAAACAAAATAATATATCCAAAGTATGAACAACACAAAAACATGAGCAAATATATGAAATAGATCAGAATAAAACAGTAAGATATCAAAGGCTCATAATAAAACAATTCAAATTTGATTTAATGACCAAAGAACAAAGTTACAAGACACTACAGCAAAAATGTTCTACAGCGGCGTTTTTCGTGGCGTTTTAAGAGTAAACGCCACTAACTTTAAACATATAGCGGCGTTTACATTTCAAACGCCACAAAATGGTAACGTTAGCGGCGTTTTTATACAAACGCCGCTATAGACTCGTACTTTAGTGGCATTTTTATACAAAATGGCGCTATAGACTCGTACTTTAGTGGCGTTTTTATACAAACGCCGCTATAGAGTAGTACTTTTGCGGTGTTTTATACAAACGCCGCTATAGACGCCTACTTTAGTGGCGTTTTATATAAACGCCGCTATAGACTTGTACTTTAGTGGCGTTTTTATACAAACGCCGCTATAGACTCGTACTTTAGTGGCGTTTGTGTTTATAAACGCCGCAATAGGCTTGTACTTTAGTGGCGTTTTGTACAAACGCCGCTATAGACTCGTACATTAGTGGCTTTTTTTTATACAAACGCCTCTATAGACTCGTACTTTAGTGGCGTTTGTGTTTACAAACGCCGCAATAGGCTTGCACTTTAGTGGCGTTTTTATACAAATGCCGTATAGACTCGTCTTTAGTGGCGTTTTTTACAAGCGCCGCTATAGACTCGTCTTTAGTGGCGTTTTTTACAAACGCTGCAAGTTGTCTCTTTAACTTTTTTTCATTTTTCCCCCTTCACCTATTTTTCCATTCCCACACCCCCTTTCTAAAACATAAAAATGTTTCATCTCCTCTCCTCCCTCTCGACTTTAGACTCGTTTTCGGTTCTTTGATTTGTTTCTTGTAACCATGTTTCTTCTCCTTCATGACTAATTACTTGATTTTAGGATGTGCCGAGGTTCACTTTGCATTGAGTTTTGGGGAATGACCAGGAGCGTTTTTCAGAATGTGTTGCTGATTTTGATTTATTTCAACTATTTATCAAATCACGTTCCCCTCTTTATAGATCTTCTAATTTGATGTATATTAGAGTTTCTTTCGTGATTCGTGTTTCTTTTTTTATTAGATTTTAATCACTCGAGAGAACTCCTGATTACTTTCCAAAAACTGGAATGAACATATGTATGCCGGCTGTGTGAATAGAGTTATACCCCCTCTTCAAAATTAGGAATTTTTTCAAGTGTAGGGTTCCAGTATGTCGGCTGTACGAAGATGGAGCGAGGGAATGTCCTCGGATAATGTTAATGGTTTGGTTTTAGCTATTTCTTCCAGTTTATTCATCAGGGCAAGTTTCATCTTTAAGAAAAAATGCTTGAAAATAGCTGGTGCTTCTGGCGTCAGGGCAGGTATGCAATTTATCAAATGTTTACTTCTTTTTTGATGATTTGATTTCGGATTTCATTTTTCTTCTTTAATTGGAAATTGCTATTAGGTTAAATAAGTTGTTGTGTTGTAAGATTTTATGAATAATTGTTTACGCAATTTAGAAAACGAATTTGAGTGAAGTGCAAGTGATGAATATTTATTTGACCTTTGAATTTAATTCATCAATAAGGGAATTAATCGATTTGAACTCTTGTCAATCTAGTATTTAAGCTTGTATTTAGTAAACTAGTCTTCATGTTTTTCTTTTTCTTCATAAAACTAATCATTTATGTCTATCAAATTGCACCGGCCTTTTCATTTGCATCCTTTTGATGGTGGGTTTCAGTGTCATCTTTGATTGTATGTATCTTCTAACTTATTGAATATGAATTGTTTACGAAATTCCTTAATCTGTCCAAGTTTCTGTATGCTGAAGTTTTGCATAATGTGTGAAAGAAAGATACAATATGTCTCTATTGAATGAAATTGATGAAAATGATATGTTTTTGATTTTTCAAACTTCAGATTTTCTTTGGTATTGCATGTATGTTTTGTTCCTATTGAACAAAGTTTTTTCTATTCATTACAATTTTGTGTTTATTGCATGAAATTTCCTGCTGTATGTGGAATTAGATATATAATTTTTGTTTTATCTCGATTATTTAATGAAATTTTGAATGTATTTGTTATCATTTAGTGATTCTTCACCTTTTTGTTCCTTATGAGGAGTTTTTGTTGTTCTTATGCATGATGAATCACAATTACATTAGTTTTTCTGGTTCTTACACAGGAGTTGGAGGGTATTCGTACTTGCTTGAACCACTTTGGTGGGCTGGCATGATAACAAGTAAGTTTTATGGGTTTCTCATTGATAATTAACTCTATCTCATGTATTTTTTTCTTCCTACTTGCATGCTTACACCTGAATGTTCAGGAAGTTATCAGACTGCAGTCTTTTTAAATACTAGTGAGATGGTCAAGTTTTTTTTATTATGATTCATGATTTTAGAGGAAAATGTAGTTAATTCTAATTTTTAATCAACATTACAACAGTGGTCGTCGGGGAAATTGCTAATTTTGCTGCTTATGCATTTTCACCGGCCATACTGGTCACTCTTCTCGGTGCTCTCAGCATCATTATCAGGCATGCGAATTTGTCTCTCAAATTTAGGTTTGGCATTTAAGTGTTTATTGTTAATCATCACTTCTGATATAGTGCAGTACTTGCATATATCATTTTGCGGGAGAGGTTACATACTTTTGGGATTCTCGATTGTGCTTTGTGTTGTGGGCTCAATAACAATCGTATTGCACGCTCCCCCTGAACGTCAGATTGAATCCATAGCAGAAGTCTGGGCTCTTGCTACAGAGACAGGTTGTTTTTTCTTAAAGATATTGTTGTTAGCTCATATGGTTTTTCTTCTTGAAATTGGTGTACTACAGAATAGGAAATGAATGTACCATATTTGATATTTTTTGCATGATTTTTGTTTTACGTGGCTCTGGTCATAACAATTGTCATTATACTTATATTCCATTTTGTTCCACAATATGGACAGACACACATTATGGTTTACATTGGAGTATGCTCTCTCGTGGGTTTTATTTCGGTATGCATCAGGACAAGTCTATTGGTTGCTTAATTCTGTGTCCGTTCGATTGTATTGTCTCCCCTCATATTGTTGTTTTTAAGAGTGTTCTTTGACAGGTCATGAGCGTTAAAGCACTCGGTATTGCCTTGAAGTTAACATGTTCAAGAATGAATCAGCTTGTGTATCCGCAGACATGGGCGTTTACTTTAGTTGTGGTTACTTATGTGATTACCCAAATGAATTATTTAAACAAGGTAATGGTTACACATGGTCTTTTCTTCTTTTGGTACTCTCTATTTCCTAAAATGTCTAGATTTGTGCTTTTCTTTTGATTACTTTTCATGCCCCTCAAAGAAAATGAGACGAAAGAAATGTTGGAATGAATGAAAAACAATCCAAGAAGAATTTTTTTCATTTTACTTCAAAATCTATTTCATTTACCTCCAAAATGTTTCTCATGGATAATTTTTTATGGTGTTCATAATCATTAATTTAAACTTTAATCAGTTGAAATTTATCTATTTATTATTTTCTTACTCCGAATCAATGTTCCCTTACCTTGAATTTTTGTTGTTGATTTTAGCTAATTTAAGACTTCAGTTTCACAGTCTGATTCCTTTTTTTGTTATTGTTATTTTGCCTTCATAATTGCAGGCACTTGATACTTTCAACACAACCGTTGTTTCTCCCATATACTATGTTATGTTTACGTCACTGACCATTTAAAACCATCTTGGTTAAATTTATAACGAACTTTGTATTCATTACTGCTATGTATCATTTAAAACCATATTGGTTAAATTTATAGCGAACTTTTTATTCATTACTGCTATTCTTGTACAGCTGCTATACAGTGCCTGAAGAGGAAGAGATTATATGAACAACAAATAGAGCAGCTTGGGAACTTCCAGCTTCGTATTCATGATCAAGTGAGCTTGATTTTTTTCTTCTTTTTCATTGTTTTAACTATTCCCTTGGAGGGCTTATTATTATTATTATAACTATAGCATTACTTAATTGTATATATCAATTTCCACAGATGATAATGTTAGAATGTGCTAAAGCCACAACCGAAACTGTAGATGCATTGAGAATTGGAGCTGCTGTAATGAAAGCAATGCAGAAAGCAATGTATGTATTCCGTTAAATTCATTATATCATTACCATATCATTGATGTTTGTTGGCCTGCGGTTTATGCTGTCTAAATTAGCACTTATATTTGGGTCTTTCATGAAGCATGAGCAGAGGCTAATTCTCACAGTTAAACTGAAATTTGCATTCTTTACAGGAATATAGATGATGTTGACAAAACAATGGATGAGATGAGAACTGAAATTTGCTAATTCTCAATTTTCATACTATAGGTGGAAGATCGTTATCTGTTTCAAGTGAAGCATTGAAGCGTGCAAGGAGTCTTCTTGATGAACTGGAGCAATGAAGACTAAATTATAGTGAATAATATTTTTTTTAATTGAAAGTGAAATAACCTAGACTAACTTCTAGAGAACAATGTCAAACTACATTACATTTAATTTTAATGTTTATAAATTTTAATTTATTTTGTTAAAATTTATGGTTATTGTTATTTATATAAAGTTACATGATATTAAATTTAGGTGATGTAGAGCATAAATGAAATATGCAAAATATCAATTAATCTTAGCTAAAGAATGGTAATTAGCGGTGTTTGTTCCAAAACCGCCGCTACAGATCTGACCTTTTGCGACGTTTGTATCCAAAAACGCCGCTACAGATCTGACCTTTTGCGGCATTTGTATCCAAAAATGCCTCTACAGATCTGAAGTTTCGTGGCGTTTGTATACAAAATCGCTGCTATAGATCTGACCTTTTGCGGCGTTTGTATACAAAAACGCCGCTATAGATCTGACCTTTTGCGGCGTTTGTTTCAAAAACGCTGCTATAGATCTTGACTTTTTGTGGCGTTTTTATTTCACAAACGCCGCTAACATTAGCGGCGCTGGTATGGCCGGCGCTGGTATAGCCGGCGCTTCTTGTTGTGTTTTTACTATCGCCGCGAGTGCTTTTAGCGGCGCATAAAAACGCCGCTATAGAACTAAAAAACGCCACTAAAACTCTATTTTGATGTAGTGAGAGTAATAGGGATCTAAAACGTAGTTTCCACTTTTACCAAAGCAAGGCAATTCTCTAGTAGCAAAAACTACATCACGTGGGGCTTATAAAAAATCATTTTTAAGGATTTTACTTCATCCACTCAAAATAGATAAAGAGAGAGTTCCAGAGAACTCCTTCAAATCCCCAAACAACCATTGTTACCCCTTTGGTAAAATACCAAAATCATCAAAGGATTTTTTTAAAGTAAACGCTGCGATTTTGAACAATTACCTTTGAAGACCGAAAATCCTCTTTCAAGTTCGATCTTTTGAAGAAAAGGTAAATCTCTTTTTTAATGGTTTTTTTGGATGATTTTTTTCATTTCGAACGCTATTGTTCTACTTTTTTTCGAATGCTCTTGTTTGAATCTCCTCTCTCATTTTTTCGTTCCAGACCCCCTTTGTTCGAATCTCATCCTCCTCCCTTTTTTGCTTGATTCCTCTTCAATTTTATTATTGAAATCTTCACCTAATCTCCATAGATGCATCTGCATTTTCTTTGTGTTTGGTAGGATATTGACGGGTTTAGGTATGATTTATGGATTTGCTTTTGACTTTGATAAAATTTTTATTTGTTTTGTTGTTCAGTTGGCTGACATGAGTGATGATGACATTTCAACTTGCTCGGAGGTGACTCGCCTTGGTGACTCGTCGGTGGAGAGGCTGACAAGTTGAAGGCGAGACTCGGACAAAAATGGGTGTTTACAGCTGCCCCTCTTTGTACATTCTTGGGTTAACAAGAATAAGGCAAAGACGAAAAAACAACCAGTTTTTTGTCCGGTTCTCTTTTTTTGGTTTTGTTGTTTGATTTGGGAGACGACACATATCATATGTGTTGAAGAGTTCTGGTCGTCTAAGGGTAACAAGAATCCTACATAATGAGAAGATATAGTCAAGGGATGAAACTGCTCATACGTGATGAAGAGTTCTTTTCCATCTTTTAGAAATATGATAACTTGGTTCCTACGCGATGAAGACTGTTGGTTATCAATGGTTGACATAACTCCTACATAATGAGGAAATTTAGTCGAGTGATGACACTACTCATACGTGATGAAGAGTTCTTGGCCATCTTTAAGAAGGATGGTAACTCGATTCCTATGCGATGAGGACGACTGGTTATCAAAGGTTGACACAACTCCTATGTGATGGGGAGATCAGGTTAGGTGATGACATGACTCAAACGTGATGAAGAGTTCTGGCCATCTAAAGGTGATAACACGGTTCCTACGTAATGAGGACGGCTGGTTATCTGGGGTAACATATTTCCTATACGATGAGGAAAGTTGGTCGTCACTGCTTATACTATGGTGAATATTGGTTACCCAGAGTTGACACGGCTCTTACGTGATGAGGAGATCTAGTCATAGCTGATGATGATTGATTTATTGATGATATAAGTCTTGAAGATCCTGTAAAAAATGTCATATGCCATGATTTCATGCCCTAAAGATGATCTAAATGTATGTGAGTTGTCATGCATGTTTAAAGGGTTATGTGTAAATCGAGACTGGCAATTGAGTTCTCTCGTGCTCTTTGATTGAAACACATGAAGTTTCATCTTTTTTCAATGTCTAGGTTATGACTTTGAATTACTTTCTTAACCTCTCGTTCATGAACTTGAATTCTATGATCCATCCCGAGAAAGTTTATCTTGCTTTGTTGATTATTTAGCCACTAGTTGATTTTCTGAGAAATCCAATCAGAATGAATGACTTCTCTTACTGTTCTTCTTCAAATTGGGACTTCTTTGCTTGGGAAAGGTAAGATTAGGTTAAAACTGATTTATTCAATTTAACCCTTCTTTTTCAATGATCACATTTGTGTATGTGCTCTCCGATAAACACCTGTTTTTGAAATCCCCATACTCTGACACTTTTTAGTGTAAAGAATAATAAACAATGTTGTTATTGACCACTGTTTTGGTGATTAAATGTAATGAATAATGAATAAAACTCAAAATTTTCATTTAAAAGAGGTAATGAGAAAGTATAATCCTTTAGGATAAGAAACAGTAAACATTACAAGAAGAACAAAGGAATAAATACAATGGATATCAAATGTTGAATCACTATATTTCCTCATCCAAATCTTTCCTGAAAGTTGACATGTGTCTCGAAGATTCAGATCATACAAAAGATGTGCGAGTATGAGAATTTTTTCCCTGAACTGTTAGGCTTTCAAGGGAATATGTCATCTCAAATCTTGAATATTCGAGCCACCCATTATGGATTTTCAACTCGAATCCTCCTTTGGTTTCAAGATACCCATTTTAGGTTTTAATCTTGAACCCTCCTTTATTTATTTTCCTTTTTATTCTTTTCTTTTCTCTTCTTCTTCAAGTGTAATATCGCTTGACTGAATCATAATTCACAGGATTAGGCAAATCTTCTCCATCCATTTCAGTTAAAACCAAAGCTCCTCCTGAAAAGGCATTTTTTACAACATAAGGAACTTCCTAGTTTGGCATCCATTTCCCATGAAAGTCTTTTTGCATAGGGAGGATCTTTTTTAGCACAAAATCACCTTCATGAAATTCTCGAGGCCTGAACTTCTTGTCATAAGCTCGCATCATCCTTTTCTGGTACATTTGGCCATTACAAATAGCTCTCAGTCTTTTCTCTTCAATTAAATTCAACTGATAAAATCTACTTTGTACCCAATCAACCTCATCAAGTTTCAATTCCATCAATACTCTTAAAGAAGGATTTCTACTTCAACAGGTAAAACTGCTTCCATCCCATATACCAAAGAAAATGGTGTTGCCCCAGTAGATGTACGAACAGATGTGCGATAAGCAAGCAGTGTAAAAGGTAATTTCTCATGCTAGTCTCTATATGTTTCAGTTGCTTTTGTGATGATCTTCTTGATGTTTTTATTTGCTGCCTCCACTGCCTCATTCATTTTTGTGATGTTTGATCTTCAACTTTGTGCATACTTCCTTCATTAAATCATTGTTCAAATTCAACGCATTATCTGTGATGATCCTTTCTGGTATTCAATATCTGCAAATGATTTCCTTTTTTAAAAATTTGCAAACCGCTCTTTTTGTGACATTAGCATATGAGGCAGCTTCAACCCACTTGGTAAAGTAGTCAATAGCCACTAAGATAAAATGATATCCATTTGAAGCCTTCGGTGAAATTGTTCCAAAGACATCGATGCCCCACATTGAAAATGGCCAAGGTGCATTCATTACATTGAGTGGTGAAGGGGGAACATGTATTTGGTTATCATAGATTTGGCATTTATGACATCTTCGAGCAAATTTGATGCAATCTCCTTCCATAGTAGACCAGTAATATCTAAATCTCATGATCTTTCTAACCATTGTGAATCCATTTGCATGTGTTCCACAAACCCCTTCATGGACTTCTTCAACTATTTTCTTGGCCTCAATTATATCCACACATCTTAAAAGCACCTGATCTTTGCTTTTTTGTACAAAATGTCTCCATCGAGAACATACTCCAATGCCAATCTTCTCAAAGTTTGTTTTTCATTTTCAGTTGCCTCAGCTGGATAAGCTCGATACTTCACATACTGGAGAATATCATAATACCAAGGGATACCGTCTTCCTCTTCTTCCTCAATGTTACAATAATGAGATGGCATTTCTCTTATACTTATTCGAATAGGCATCATTCGAAACTGATTATTGGCCTTAAACATGGTTGCCAACGTAGCCAAAGCATCTACCATTTGATTTTCTTCACGAGGAAGATAAGTGAAAGAAATTTCTTCGAACTCCTTGATCAAATTCATCATAAAGTCTTGTATTCTATTAATTTAGAGTCTCAAGTCATACATTCCCCTCGAAGTTGATAAATGACCAAAGCAGAATCACCAAATACTTCTAAGATTTTAATTTTGCGCTCAATTGCTGCTTGAATACCCAGGATACATGATTCATATTCTGCCATGTTATTTGTTCATTCAAAGGCAAGCCTACTAGTAAAAGGATAATGATCCCTTTCTGGTGAAACTAGTATTGCCCCAATTCCATGCCCCACAGCATTCGAGGCACCATCGAAGTTCATTTTCCAGGTTTCATCTTTCAGAGCATCTTCTTCCGCAGTGAATATACTCATTAAGTCCTCATTTGGGAAATCAAACTTCACTGGCTTATAGTCTTCTAATGCTCTGCTTGCTAGGAAATCGGCAATAGTATTTCCTTTCACCACTTTTCAATTCATATAGA